TGAGCCTAATTCAGACCAAGTATGAAGAGTTCTATCTCGTTGATACATCCTCAATTACTTGATAAATTGTTGCATAACAACACTTTTCTTGTACATCATTAAGTCATTCAGTTTGTTTAGGACTTTGAGAAAAAAAAAGAATAAGTTTTTTGTATGTTTAATTAATTGAGCTACAGGTTTAAGACCTTTTAATACACTTAACTGTAGCATATAAGTAGAACAAGCTGATCATCTAATGTTATTTATTAATCTAATTGACTTCTTGATATTGGTACCATTGTCAGTTGTAATACAAAAAACTCTTCCAGTTAGTTCCTATTTGGTAATAACTTGATCAAGTGAGCTTTTGATATTTTTGGCTATATGAGGTGACAGAATTAGTTTGATTGTTAATAAAGTCTCTCTTAATATAAAATTTGAATCAATCCATGTTGCTGTGACTTCAATGTATTCTTTATTTGTTCCTGAACTCCACAAATCTGTGATCAAATTAATAGATTCACCATCTACATTCATCATACCAAATAATTGGTTATGACTTCAATTATAAGCTTGATTAATCATTTTTTTTGTTGTTATTTCGCAGAGAATCTGAAATCCAGGTTTCAGATCATTTAGAAATCAATGAAAAGATTGACAATGCAAAATATTTAAAGGTTGACAATCTTCAACTATAAACTCAACCAAATTTTGCGCCAGCCTTTTTTGTCAATGTTTAGTAATAATATGCATGGCTTTAACAATTGGACCATCTGTATTTATTCCATCAGGATGATCTTTATTGATTCGATGCTTGGACCAGAAGTGGCCAAGCATGTTTTCGGTTAAAGAGTTATGTACATATTTAATTGTAATGTTCTTTTCTTTATATAATTAACAGACATCAAAAAAACCTTCTTCTATTTCTTCAGTCTTAAAATAGTCCTATACAATACTATAATTATTCTGCTTTTTTATTTTTTTTATTTTTTTTTTATCTTTAGAAGGTTCATCATTTATAGGTGGTTCATCATTCATAGACGATTCATTATTCATAGGCAATTTATCATTTGTAGGCAATTCATTATTCGTAGATGATTTATTATTTGTAGGTGATTCATAATTCATAAATGGTTCATCATTTCTAAATAAGTCTCTATATACTGAAGAATAAGCATCATCTTTATCCATGTAATAATCAAACATAGTAAGTCTTTATTTTGTCTTTCTTATTTAAGTTGGTCTTTTAAAATATGATTTATAATTATTTCTAATAGTAAATATCATCATTTTAATTTAAAAAAATCATACTTTTTTGTTTTTATATATTTGGTGGTTGTTTTTTTTTTTTCAACAATATTAAGAGGTAGATCACCTCTAAAGGGTATAAAATGATCAACATTTTATCATAAATCATGGCGAGATTTAATAGTAAATTTTTATAGTGTAGAAATCTGGCT